CCTGCTAGATCTTGGGCAGCCAATCACGTGGTGTGTTGGCGGATGGATGAAAGTCTTTGAAGTTGGAAGCGCGTTGCAGTCGAAACGTTTAAACGAAACTTAACTTAGAACCGAGACTTTTAACGGAAAAGAAAACAAAGGAAAAGAAAGGAAGGTGAGACGAGTTAGATGGCTTGAATAAATCTGTTTTAACCCTGATCTGATAATATTCAATAATATTATTGATCTGCCTTACTTAAGGTGGACGTTGACGCAATTTTCTTTTAGAAACAAACTTTGTTATATTGTTTTCATGTTATCACTGTGAAGCGCTTTGATACAATCTGTATTGTAAAAAGCGCTATATAAACAAAGGTGACTTGACTTGATCTTGATTTGGGTGATTTGTCTCTGCGTCTACATGGTTACTATAACCAACGTCTGCTCCACCCGACTTGTTCTGCCGAGACCTTTTCCGAGGGAGAGAGCGATGGAGAGAGAGAGCAAGAGCACCAGAGAGCAGAGGGCAAGAGCCCCAGAGAGCCAGAGAGAGCACAAGAGCAAGAGAGAGCGATTCTGTGTTCGGGTCTAAGATTTTAAACTCAAAGTTTGTCCAACCTCCCGGATGGGTTCTGGCCAACTAGGAGGTGGCCCTATCTTCTTCTTATCGTAAACCATGGGTTATCTGTGATCTCCTTGTTCTCCAGCACTAGCGGAGAGAACAAGAGGCCACAGTTTAGACATTATTACTATTATAAAAATACAAAACATTTTACACAGATTTCAATCGAGCCATCTTTTGAATTAAAAACATACAATCCTACTGACAGGAAGCACGACACACTTTCATTCACACCTCTAATATTTATAACAATTATGAATTGTTATGGCATCTAAGCATATTAGACCCACACATATATTGTAGAAACAACAGAAGTATGTAGTTGCATAAGGTTTGATTATAAGTCCATCGAGAATTGTTCTGGGATGAGTTTTATGGATTTTGATGTGTTTTAGCGTGTAAAGTTTGTGGGGTTTAAGCCATTCTAGTCTGAGGTCATTCTTGCTGAAGTCTGTTTTGTCCTCATGTCATGGGACCTTGGTCCTTAAGAAAGGCGTAGTCTGTTAGTCGCAGGGGTCAGGTGACCTCTTGTTAGGGCCTCTTGTTTCACCATTTCTGAACAGATCTGTCTTGCCAAATTATAAGACATTGACAACGTTCTTCCTTTAGTTAAACAACAAAAAGTCCTTTTTGGTTGCAGACTCTCTGGGTGTGGTGACTTGAATCTGGAATGTGAAGCCTCTTTCGTGTGATTATGTATGAAAGCTTCAATTGTGTTTGGTTCATTCTCATAGTTGCTACATAAACGTCAAACCACAGCGAATATTGGGTGCAACTGACATGCCCTGTTGGGGTTTGTTGGTTGTGCTCACTGGCAGTTGTGGATCTGCCCCCTGACATAGAGTTTAGAGCAAATGTATGGTGACATTATTGACTGAGCTAAATGTATTGTTATTGGTACTATTGTCGCTGTTGTTGTGGATTGCTAGAGCTAGAGTATTAGCTAATGCTACTGTTGTTGTCATGAGTGTTGTCATTGTGAATATTGTCATTGATACTACCACCACTAATACTAATGTTAATATATTATTGTTGTTGTTGTGATTTTTGGGGTGATTATTACCTTCACTAGAACTATACTGATACTACCGGATTGCCCCTATCTATACTAGGGCTGTAGCGATACACTAATCTCACGATACGATACGATACACGATATTCGGCTGACGATACGATATATATCACGATATTCAGCCAACGATACGATTCGATATAATTCGATACACTTACATCATTTTCTGAAAGATTTAAAGGGGACAGAGTGATTTTGGTGACATCTTGTGAGTCTTCCATTTACTTGGATTGAATTAATTGAACTGAAAACTGAAAACATCATTTACACAATATATGTCTCTGACTGGGCAGAGAGTACAGCTTGCAAATGCTGGACAAAATGAATCAAATATGTGTAGAGAAAATTAGTTCTATTTATTGAAAGACAACAGTGCAAACTGTAGCTTATAAGCCTTTGTTAATTGCAATACTGCACTTTATTTACTTTTCAATGGAGAGTTAAAAGGTGCAGCAAGTGGCCTGTTGTGAACAGTTTCTTTGCACTGCCTTTTCTTTGACAGCTTTTTTAGCTTGACACTGAACATGTGACGTGCTTCAGTTGTGCGCGAGGTCAAGCCGTCGCACGTCAGGGAAACTCTCTCCGCGCTGGCCAGGGAGGCTTTGACGTGTGCTCTTGCCTGAGTGTACAGCCTGGGAATGCAAACCTTGATGAGGTGTTCGCGGGTTGGAATAGGATAGCGGGGCTCCATCGCGTTCACCATGCGCCTAAAGCCGGCGTTTTCCACCACCGAATACGATTTTTTTTACATTTTTTTTTTTTTTACTAAGCCTATTTAAAATCGTATTTGATTGCAGAGCGCCGCAGCGTATTCACGCAGCACTACCTCGCTCTCGCGCTCTCTCTCTCTCTCTCTCTCTCTCTCTCTCTCTCTCACACACACACACACACACTCATCCGTACCTCGCGCACTTTCTCACTCACGGAACACCGCTGCACAAATCTGTCCAACACAGCGCTGTCAATTTCGGAGACCCAGCTTTAAAAAAAGCTACTAGCCAGCATGCAAGGAGCCTAGCCAACAAGGAGAGCTAAGTTGTTGTTTGAATACAGCTGGATTTTCGTCAATATCGATGCACGCGCGCAGCTGGCCACTAGCGGCTGGCTGACCAAATCACTCTTCATGCAACGCGAACGGGTTTAACACGGGGGATTTGAATGGGACTTATGTATCGATACTCGCGGCCTAAAAATCGATACTTTCTTGGGAGAAAAAATATCGATTTATATCGCAGAATCGATAAAATCGCTCAGCCCTAATCTATACTTACGTCACAGAAAGGATCTCATGTGCCTACACACACCACTGTGTTGGGCTGTTTTGTATTTCTTTGTTTTTGTGCTTTTTCTCTCTTCTGTATTGTATATGTGTGTCACTGATTTCTTACCTTGTATGTAAAAAAAAGAGAAAAAAGTATTGTACTGTAAAAAAAAAAAAAAAAAACACAGCGAATTAATATGAAGTGAAACTGAAGCCTAACTCTCTCATTCGGCACGAATCCAAATGTTTCCATATTTGCAACGTATTTGGATGCTAAACTATTATGCATTATGGAAACTAGGCTTTGTACTTCACTCGAATTATCGACGTAAAACATCATCCTTGACATATAACAGCACAGTATTGGTGGTCGCGCTGCACGGCACAGATTGTACTATGGACTATTTAAATTCAGCAGTGTAATGTAAATTTCTATGTTTGGTTGACTGTATTTCATTTTAATAATGAACAGGCTGCGATGTCAAGTTAGCAATGCTAGAATATGTTGTGTGTGCACGTGAGGCACTGGCGCGATCCCTGGAATTCTTTCCTGCTGAGGAACCCGTTACTCCGTAATTTATGGTCATACGGAAAGAAGCAAGACATGATTCAAAACTGTAAAGCTTATGTAAAATACAGAAAACAAGCAGGATGCCATTTTCTGCCATCTTGGTTTCCTTTCCGTGAACTTTGGAGCCTATCACAATAAAACGAAACTCAGCTAAATTTTTCCTTTCGTTTTGTTAATGTATTTTGCATATATATTAGTTTTTATATTATTAGTTTAATTCTGTTTTCTCCGTTCACAGAAACGCTTTAAGTGCGTGATGTGACATTGTGTGAATCCATGTTCTACACTATCCTGCACAAAAGGTTTCAAAACACAAAACAAGCTGCATATTACCTGCTTTTCATTTTCACTGAAATGTAGGCCTAATACTTGACAGTTGGTGACATACACTGAACAAAATTATAAACGCAACACTTTTGTTTTTGCCCCAATTTTTCATGAGCTGAACTCAATGATCTAAGAATTTTTCTATGTACAAGTCCTATTTCTCTGAAATATTGTTCACAAATCTGTCTAAATTTGTGTTAGTGAGCACTTCTCCTTTACCGAGATAATCCACCTCACAGGTGTGGCATATCAAGATGCTTATTAGACAGCAGGATTATTGCACAGGTGTGCCTTAGGCTGGCCACAATAAAAGGCCACTCTAAAATGTGCAGTTTTACTGTATTGAGGGGGTCTGGGATAGATTGCTAGATATTGGCAGGACCTGGAACACGCTCTCGTATACGCCGATCCAGAGCATCCCAAACATGCTCAATAGCCCCGTTTCCACTGTCGGGCCAGAGCCGGGCGTGCTAGTGCGTGCCAGGGTCACTTCCGGTGCTTGATCAAGGCTTACTCGGGGCCAACGGGCAGGATTTTCTGGCCCGTCGAATACCTTGGTCCACCAGCTCGGGCTAGAGGCGTGGTCAAGGTGAAAGGCAGAGTTTATCGGTGTTAGGTAAGGTCTGCGGCAAGATGCACATTTCACTTTTTTATATCACGCAAAATAATCAAGCTCAAAATGGAGAATCGCCTGTACTGGTCTGTCGAAGATACCAAAGCTCCTCTGAAGGAAGATTATCAAAAGGTACAACGTCAGTTTGACGGTGTGTGCAGAAACGAGGACGTTATAAAATACATTGTTGCTGAACTTGCTAAGCATCCAGTGAACAACGCTTCAAGTTCGGGGAAAAATAAAAAAGTTGCGGGGCCAGTACAAGGCGATTAAAACGCACAATGGACAAAGCGGAGCCCAGAGAAGGAACTTTCCATGGTTCGACTTGATGGACGGTGTGCTGGGTCACCATCCTTCTGTTAGTGGAGAGACAAGTCGGGACACTATGGCAGCCACAGATGGTGACTTAATATGCATGCTATCTTCCTAACTTTAAAAAACTTTAACAAATTTAAATATTGCATAAGTGGCCGACATGCGTGTTTATGTTTTGTGTGCTAGAATCGTCATTCCAGAGTGCTTTCTTTGAGTCAGAAGTGGAGCAGGGACCATCTACTACACTTCCACTGCTAACGTCGACACCCGGTATGCAAAAATATACAAAATACAGCACAGAAGTATTAAGTATTTTGTTAGTTTCTTGTCAGTATGTAATTGTCTAAATATATGTTTATTACAGAGAGACATGATGGTCCTGAAGATGTAACTGTAATAAGAGGACGATCACATCACATTCCACAAAGGACTAGACCAGGTATTTTTGCGTTTAATGTACCTGCTAAATATATGTAGCCTAACAAACTTACAGTTTGGGATACTGTATGTGTACTTAGAGACTAATCTCACAATCTATACCTGAATTCACAATACATCCCAAATGTCATGCTTATTTTTGTGTCTGCTTTTACAGAGAGTCGCAAACGCAAAGCTGCAAATTTGGCATCAAGGGAGTTTTTGCAGTGTATGCGGGACATAACACAGCAACAGATGGAAGAAGAGCGGGAGCTGAGAAGAGAAGAAATTTAAAAAAGAAATGATGATGAGACCAGAGGAATTGGACTATGATGCACAATTCAGACGGGAGGAGATGTCACAAAGACAGAAAGAATCAGAGTCTTTTGCGTCAGTCTTCAGTAAATTGACCGCAGCCCTTCTCCAGAGTAAGTAGATGGACAAATCATCTATCTTTCTGTTTGCCTTAATGCCTTAAAAGTTTTTTTGTGTCAATAGTACCTCTTAAAATCACCCGTTTCATTTGTATGCACATTTGTAAATAGTACTTCTCAAAAGCACCTGTTTGTTTCGTTTGTATGCATTTTATAAGCACCTTTGTATTTTTGCACTCTGTGAACTTAATATATATATACATAAAGTAATAGCTGTGCTATTATAACTGAGGCAAATGAAAATCATGCTTATTAAGGGGCACATTATCAAAAGCAAAATATACATTATTTTACTAATATATTATACACATAAGGCATATATGTCAAATTTATGTTACTTAATAAATACATTATTAGTAATTCATTGTTAGTTCACACTGCATATATGTTAGCAAAAAAAAGTTTGACTTAAATAATTAGTAATGTTTGTCATTTGAACTAAGATTAATAAATGCTTAAAAAAGATTTAAAAAGACTGTGACTCAAATAAGGTATTAAGGCAGTTATTGACATAGACTACTGTCACGGGTGTGGTGCAGGTAGAAGAACACGCAGAGTCAAGCTCCAATTCCAACGATTGACTAATATAAAGTACAGGCAGGTTCAGACGGGCAAGATTACACACGCGCGATTACAGATGCAGCGTGAACAAGGCTAACTATGACTAAGGCCCTGTTTACACGAGAAAGCTCGCGGGTGAAAATGTAAAAATATTTTATCAGATGGGCCTTTCGTTTACACGGCGACAGCGTTTTTGGGGCTTAAAAACGCAAAAAAAAAGTGAAACCACCCTCCAGAGTGGAAATCTTAAAACGCTCCACCGTCGTGTTACCATCTAAAGGGTAAAACGCAAAAGTCTTCTAGACAGTGAAGGCACAGATCTGGTTGTTTGCAGGCGTGCGGACTTGGTGTTGTTGTGTGGCAGTCCTTCACACTGCCACCTGGAGTGCATACTACATTGAATTTCACACACTTTTGCGTCACCATATGCACGCGGATTTCCCACCCATAACGCTAGTCTAAATGCAGAATAAAAAGTGATAACACAATGCCACTTTTGCGTTTTCTCTTCAGATCGTTTCCGTGTAAACATAGCCTGACAAGGACTGACTGAACTGAAGGGGACTATATACACACACTGATGAACATAACGAGCTGAAGACAGGTGACACAGATGATGATAATTAACTAACACAGGTGAGACAACTGAAGACAAACGAGGAGCGGGAAAACTGAACAAGGAAGACATGTGACTGAACAAAACAACAGGACAGATTAACATAACTGTGACAACTACTATGCATACTTATGGGCACATTATTTAAACGACTGTATGATGGGCACCTTTTGTATTCTGTAATATCCACCTATTAGAAGTTGGTGAGATGCAAATAATGTCCTTTTCAAATTTCAGAAATATCGTATGTATAAGCAGCTTCACATTTAAAAGTACCTTTAAGTGACCATATCTAAAAACATTTTAACAGACAAATACTTATAACTGCAATTACAAAAAACATACCAGTAGAGCTGAGTATTTTTGATTTTTTTTTTAAATATAATGAGAAGAGTGTTTAATTGTGTTATTGTAAAAATGGCATATTGCTTATTGATCTGATATTGTTTGATGTAACCATGCACCATTTAGGATAAATAATTGTATTCAAGTCACAAAACAGGGTTACGCCAAATCTTAATTTCAAGTATTTTATTTGTAACAAACAAAATATAACAACAACTTACAATTGTTGCTGCTGCATGAACAACTGTTGCAGAGCACTTCTTACATCTGAACGCTCATCACCAACATTGCAAGGTGGACGTTCAGCATCTTTATCACGATCACACCACTCTGGCACAAATCTGTCCATGTACAATTCACAGCATGTCTCGGCCATATCAACAACAACATTTACATTGCAGTCATTTCGCTTACTGAAACACTTCCACCTTTCAACCTCCCAAATGCATGTTCAACCACACAACAGGCTCGACTTGTTCGCATGTTGTAGTTCTTGGCCCTCTGTAAGCCTGCCAGAATCAGATATGGTTTTAGCAACTATTTCTGCAATGGTTAAGCAGAATCACCAAGAATGAAGTAGCCAACATCAGATCCACATGTTTTTTACTCTTCCAGAAAAAGCATTACTTGTGGCCCAAGCCCATAGGCGTGACTTTCTGAGGACACTAGCGTTGTGTTCTCTTCCTGGCTGTCCAACATTCAGGTCCCAGAACATCCCTTTGCCATCCACAGCTGCTTGTAAAATTATGGAGTGCCAACCTTTTCTGTTGTGGAAATCTGATTGGTATTGTGGTCTTAATATAGGGATGTGTGAACCGTCTATAGCACCCACGCACTGTGAAATTCCCAACCTCTCTTCAAAATAATCTTCCATCTCAGGTGTTTTGATGAACTTGGGCCGAAGTATTGCAATCACAGCCTTACAAAAGTCATGCACACAGCAGCAAACAGAAGTCCGACTGACAGCAAACAGTTTGGCTACCGTCCTGTACTCCGTTGTTGATGCTAGTTTATACAATGCAATGGCTACCCGTTTCTCCAGAGGAATGCATAATCGATGTTGTATCTTGTCGCTGTAGTGCAGGCTTCAGAGTTGTACAAATGTATGTGAATGTTTCTCGGGAAACTCATCTGTGAATCTTTGAGCAGTGTTCTTCCACCAGTCACTTGTTCACTGATAGGCCATTATATTGGTGTAGTAGTGATGCATCATCTGAAAAATAATAGAATGAAATGTAAACATTAATTCCATAATTATGTTATAGATCTGTACATGTACATACATGTTTATACATACATGTATACATAGATGTATAATCTGAGGACTACTATAATAAAAGTGTAGCAGTACGTATTCGCTCTGCCTATTAAAGGAGAACTCCGGCGCAAAATGAACCTTTGGTCTAATAAAACATTGGTACCTAGTCAACCGTTCTCTGAGATTTGTTTTCATGATAATCGAATGTAAAGAGTTTTATCTCTAAAAACTGTTTCTTTGGGAAAAAAAAATGTTTCTTTGGAAAACAGTCTCAACTAATCAAACCACGAACGATGTGCTAAGTGAGCTGAACTGTATGAATGGCGTTCGTGGTTTGACTAGTCAAGACTGTTTTCCAAAGATGGCTCCTCTCTGTATACACGAAGTGGACTGTCTTTATCTTTATCTTCTTATTAAACGGTCTGTACACTTACAAAGTTCTCAATGCTTCATTTTGCATGTAGGGACCCTCATTATGTTACTGTGTTCGTGTGGGGCTATTTTGAGCCTTGTTAGTGGTATAAACTAGCGATTTCTTTTTACTTATTATATGCCCCCATTACTAGCGTTATACGCTAAACAGTTTTTAGAGATAAAACTCTTTACATTCGATTATCATGAAAACAAATCTCAGAGAACGGTTGACTAGGTACCAATGTTTTATTAGACCAAAGGTTCATTTTGCGCCGGAGTTCTCCTTTAACACCTGACTGGATGGTGATTTAGCTCTAGTTATGAGGACTATAAGGGGCTGTTTACACCTGGCCACTTCATGTGTTTTCTCAGATCGGATAGCTATCCGATTTATCAAAACGATTCCATTTTCACCTGGTCACATAAATGTGTTTTTGCAAAACGGATATTAATCCGATCTTCAATTCCTGCTGCAGATGTAATGGAGTGCACGTCACCGAAAGCAACAGATATTGCTGCATTTTATTGATCATCAGCTAATTTCAAAATCAAAGACAGCAATAAGATAGAGCGTTAACAGAACTGGTAAGATCATTTCGTTTCTTTACTTTTAATGAAGATGTGTGTTAAGCGTCTGCGACTTACTTTCATTTTGATTTGTGATCATTTTCGGCGCGTTGGCTTGATGAGACGCTCAGCTGCTCATCTGAGGTGATGCGTGTCGCAGTAGTGTCGTCATATCTGACTATAACATGACATATAGCCTATATAACACGCTCTCACACGTTTATTTTTTAGCATTTTTGGGAACACATTACATATGTGGTTTCAACAACCAGATGCATTTACACTTGTCCAGTTTCGTCTGGAATGCGGACCAGACCACCTCCTGAAGTGGTTTGAGCGATCGAATTAAAATCCGTCTCGAATGCGTTTCGGAGGGCATTTACACCTGGGCCCTCGTTTATCAATGGTGCGTAAGGACAGATTTGTGCGTAGTGAGTGTGTAAGAACAATTTCACGCAAAGTGTGGGATTCACCAAGTTGTAGTTATACGTAGAAATGTGTGTAAATATAAGCACACCTCTGAGCATGCTTACGCAGATAATCTAGTGGTAGAATAGCGACACTACACATAAAAAGCATTTAAGAGTGTCACAGTAAGCATTAAGCAATCCACATTTGTACAGTGTTTCCTTTAAAACACTCAATTTATAATTTGTCTAGTTTTAAACACGATGCTTAATTGGTGTCAAACTCTATAAAAGACAGATGTAAAATATATTTGTCTCAGTGCAATGGCTTATCTTGCATTATTGGAAGACTTGGCAAACAATGCGCTCCACAGAGAGCGTGTTTTCCAAGAACGCGCTGATCTGCTTGGCGAGAGCACAGAGTGGCTTCTAAGTAGGTACCGCTTTCCCAAAAATGTACTGCTGGATTTGTGTCGTGATTTAGGACCAGTGTTGGAGAGAGAAACAAATTGCACGAAAGCCATTCCCGTGCACATTCAACCCCTGTCCACCCTTGGATTTTTAGCTACTGGCACATTTCAGCGTGAGGTTGGAGACATATGTGGTATATCCTAGCCATCAGTGAGTAGGATCATCCCGGCAGTGTTGGATGCAATTATTTCCTTGGCCCCAACCTACATCCAGTTCCCTTATCGAAATCCTCAACAAGCTGCAATAAAACGGGACTTTCATGCCATTGCTAGATTCCCAAACATAATTGGAGCTATAGACTGCACCCACATCGCCATAAAAGCACCATCAACCAACGAATTTAATTATGTAAATAGAAA